TGGATTTAGGGTGGGGATGGGATTTGGAGTTTTGTTTTGGATTTAGGGTCTAGGATTCGGGGTGTAGGATGAATTTAATGTAGGGTCTAAGATTCAGGATGTATGACCTTGGGTTTAGAGTTGGCAGATTAGGATTTTGAACTTTGGATCTGGGAGTTTTGGTCTCATTGTGGCGCATCACTGACTTGAAGGGTTCAAGGGCCCAATATCATTTAGTGTTTAGGGTTGAGGGTTTAGGGTTTCAATGGTTTTTGCGACCAGAATCAGAATCCATACCTCAGTTGTTTTTTTCAATTGGGTTTGTAGCCTCAGTGCTGGCAAGCAACTCAAGGCTCCATTCCTCCAATCTGCACGGAGCGGCCAACAAGATTAAAGGACCCTAACGCCTAAACCCGAGCAAAAAGACAGAAAAGGCCATGTGGGTACACATGCACGTTTATATACCGCACATAAAAGCATACATGTTATTTTCCATGTCGCTATCCTAGCTATCCTATACTCCAGGTACCGTGCCATGCGAGAGATCCTCCTGGCAGGCGACACAAACCGCCTCTTGGCTCCTTCATTCCGGTAGTGCCTCAGGATTCGGATTTAGGGTTAGTTTAGTTTATGGTTTAGGCATCAGGGCCTCCATAGAAAGACGCTCTACAAAGCATCGGGTTTCCTGCATAACTCGCTTCCAAGCGCCCTTCTTAGGGACTCTGTCCTATTTGGGGCTCCAGATCTACCGTCTTCAGTCAGGTCTGGGGTCCACCTTAAACCCTACACCTTAAAACGCGTGGGACGGTTTAGGGCACTGGATTTACGTGGGATTCAAGGTATGGCATGGGGGGGTTTCGCGCCAAGGTATTAGGACTTAAGCTCAAGGCTTTGGGCTTAGGATTCAGGGTACAACGTTGCGTTGAGGGTTTAAAAGTTGCCTATCACCCATCTTTAATATTGGCTTGGGGGGGGGTACGTGCTTGGGCCAATATGTTCAAAGCCATTTTTGGGATATCCATGGGGTACATGCTGAGGGGGTCACAAAATGGCCCGGTAGACATGAGAGGTCCGCCAAGTCAATTGTTGTGGAAATCTCTAGATCTAGGATACATGTCGAGGGTGTAAAGTAATGGCCTGGCAGACGTGGAGAGGTCCGCCAGGCCATTTTGTCGCTCCGAGGGCCGGCTGCAGTCTTTTTAGATTTTGTGAGGCCGCGCCTTGTTTGGTGTAAGTGGAACCTTGTTACGTCTCTACACGCTCCCCATGACAGAGATTTCCATGGGAGCATGAAATGTTCAAGGAAGTCGCTGCTGCATGAACAAAGCACATGAAATTGAATTTGCATGTGTTTCTTCCTTGTGTTTGCTTGCACGCTACCCCGCGCTTTCAGAAAACTGACTCGATGCTAATGTGGGCCTCGTGCAACACATAATTGGATACCCGTACTAGTACTGAAAAATGATTCGAAAATCCGCCTGCATCTGAAGCACCAACCCGCCCCCACTGCACACAAGCACCAGCGGACTCTTTCTAGGGTGTAGGGTTTATAGGGTGTATGGGGCTCAGGGCCGTTTATAGTGTTCATGGGGTTGATAAGCAGTTTGTAGAGCTTATATGGGTATTTGGTTTTTAGAATTTATAAGGTTTAGGGTTTATGATGCTAGGCCTCAGCCAATCTCCAGGCTGGAGCATTACCGAGGCACAAAACGGGGCTTTGAATGGGAGGTGTCCCAGCAAAGGTCATAGGAAGACAGGGTAGCACGTCGAAAATGGCTCAAGCCATTTTCACGTCCCCCGCCCTTAAAGCATGGGCGATAGTTGCCTGGTGTTTAGGATTCAGAACTTAAAGCTAAGGCTCCAGATAGAGGCTGCTGCAGTGAGGGAACTCATCTGATGTTTGTTATGACAACCATGTCAGGGGATTTAAGGGGCTTAGAAAATCTCGCACATGGTACGGTCGTAGTTCCTGAATTTATCTGCGCATTACACCTTTTAGTCTTTCGACCTCCAGGCTTATTATGAACATATTGCACCCTCTGTATCGGTGTAATAATTGAGCAATGCTGAGCAATGCTTTGGTTTAGGTATGTAAGGGCTATGATGGAAGAAGTATTGCAAGAGTGCCTGCGTAGCCCCTGGCCTGCAGGGCGTATTTGTGACGCAGTTTCGCGTAGGCACGTCTAGGTAGTCTCGTCCACGTAGCCAGCGTAGTCTGTATGTTTTGTAAGATTAGGAGGTTCATTCTGCATAGAACTGTATATGGCGCATGAGTGGCGCGTAAACCACGCATGCAGGATGATCGCGTCTGTTCGCGTAGTATGTTCCGCAGGGAAAGCAACAACCGGCGTAGTTCGCGTAGGCATTTTACATTTGCATTAGGACTAATCTTTCCAAAAGGAGCTAGATCAGTAATAATTAATCCAGGCTTCCGCGGTATACCCTCACCACTATGGGCTATCAGACCTTAAGGGTACCTTAATCTACCCTTATTAGGGTCCTAACAAGGAATTTTAGGGTCTAATAGCCCATGGTGGCACAAGCCCCAGAATCCCTAAGCCCTGTTAAAGGGATTTTTTTGAAAGCAAAGACCCTGAAGATTCTAGGCCGACGGCGCCCCATTCTTGCTCCGATCCTGGATGTCCTACCGATTTATTTAGGCTTTGGGGTTTAGATCGTTGGGTTTTAATTTTGGGTTTAGGGTTCACCTTGGACATGTAGGGCAAAACTCTAGGACTCTAGGGTCCAGGTCACTGCCAAACTCTAAGGCCTCGTAGCCGAGCTCACCTTTGTCAGAATTAACGACCTTGCTGCGCCGCCGGAGCCCATGCACCCCGAAGGGTTTAGCGTTGAAGGTTCCGTTGGGTGGTATTTTAAAAGTGGATACAGTACCCGGATAACTTAATCCCGTGTTTAGATCCAGATAGTATACTCCTCATGGCTACAGTACTGTTTGCAGGACACTCAGGACACCACAACATTATTTGGTTAAACCGGCAGCACGAACCAGTTGAAGATGAAGAGCTTCTGTGTCTAGAGCGGCAGGGAAAAAAGGGGTTGAGACTGCAGCAGGGAGGGAGCTTTGGGCCTTACAGGGATGATGTAGGATCGTACGGGCTACAAATTGTTGTACATGAGGTTTTAGGGTTTTGGGTTGAGGGTTTAGCTTTCGGCCTGCATTCCTGGGTAAGGGGCTTTAAGGGGCCGTTGTGCTGTCATAGGGATTCAAGGGATACGTGCATTTCAGAGTCGAGTGTTGAGGGACTTTTAAGGGGAAAGGTGGGGGAGATTTGTAGGAACCGTGAAGCGATAATGTTGGGTCCTGATTAGTGCAGGGGCCCCCCCAAACAAAAAAGGGTCCCTAACTAGCGGGTGGTACTCCCCAGACAACACTTGGATTTTAGGTTTGCATTAGAATTCAAAAGGCGGGATCAACCAAATCTGGATCCTAGGTTTTAATTGAAATTCAATAGAAGGGATCAGGATCGGCTCGGATACTAGCTTTACGTTAAATTTATAATGGCTTCGGCAATAAATCAGAAGGATTTCAGATCTCAGGTGCGTTTCAGAAGGTGTTGAGGAGAATTTTAGAAAGGATCCGGAGATTTGAGATCTTGAAAGTGTTGCTTTTAAATCCTGAGCCGTTAAACGTAACAACTTGTTGTTTTCTGCTAGTTTTGGGGTCCCGCGATTTGAAAGATAACTGAGGGCCTTCAAAACATTCGTACTACTGAGGATCTGGGCAGCTGCTGGACTACCCCTTCGTGAAAAATGATTGCTAGGACTCCTCGAATAAGCGGTATGATAAGAAATCGTTAGTTTTGGACCTGGCTTGGAACCTTAAAATCCAGAGTTATGAGGGTTGAAACTCCGGAAACTTGAGGTTCTGGAACGTGGTATTGTATGTGCTGAGCCTTTAACAGTAAAATGTGTTTGTTTTCTGTTATTTTTTGGCGGTCCCGTGATTTGAAGGATAATTGAAGGCTCCCAAAACATTCGTATTATTGAGGATTCGGGCAGCTGCTGGACTACCTCTCTAGGAAAACTGATTGCTAGCCTTCCCCGAATAAGCGGTTTCAGAAGAAATCGACAGTTTTGGACCTGGCTTGGCACCGGAAAAATCCGGAGTTTTGAGGTCCTCCAAATCCGCAGGTTTAAGATTCTGAAAGCTCTGGACAAAGGGTTCTAGTCTTAGTAACACAGGCCAGCTTGGATTAGGACCCTAAACTAAATACTTACTGCTTGCCATGCTCTTCAAAGCAAATTGGGTTTATTTATTCCAGTTGCATATTCTCAGAATTTTAACCTTTTTGGCCGCGCAACTTCGCACAATTAAGGGCCCCCAAATGAATCAGGTGGTGCTGTTCGCACAATTAAGGCTCCCCACACATTATGAGCTATAGCAAAAAATCCCTAAAGGGGTTATACAGGAGAATGTATAGGGAAGTACTGTAGGGTTTTTAAGGGGGATGCTCGGAGTTAAGGCTATGGCTCATATGGCAGTCACAACAGTAGCAGAACTTATGAGCCCCAAACTTGATTCGCTATTAAATACAGAGTTTTGTATTTGTATCTATACCCATGCATACATATAAGCATGTATATATATGTATATATGTATATATGTTTTCGATGTTCTTTTATATATTAGATCCCAATAAGGAATTGAAAGCCAAGATGTTGTTCCAGTAATCCGCAAGATCCAACAGACTTGAAACCCTGAAGCTGAGGCATCCCATCATGTACCTGGAGCCCCTGGTAGCCGTCCTGACCCTGGGTTGCTGTTAAGGAACTTAATTTAAGTTACTATAGGGTTTAGGGTATATTATCCCCCTATAATGGAGAATCAAATGGAAAAGAAAATGGAAAATAAAATGGAAACTGGGGGATACATAGGGATTTCAGGAACTTGATTTAAGTTACTATATTGGGGAAACCCTAGTATTTACTCTATATATACCCATTATGGTAACTTAATTTAAGTTCCTTAACAGCAACCCAGGATCGTTGCCAATGGAATCATGATCGGCTTCCAGACGGACCCGCAGTACAGGTCACGGTTTTGCAGAGTTGCTGTTGAGGAATTGCAGCTAAGTTTTATGGGTACATAGTAAATCACACGCATTCCTTAGGGGGTAACTTGCTTAACACTCCATAACATTTCACTGCTATGACCCTCCACCCCCTAACAAGAGGGCCTCCAGAAGATAAAAACAGGCCCCGTGAATAAGGCTCCACTTTACTGACGGCTCTGGGGATTACTTCAAATGATGGCCTGGATTCTTCTAGGGCCGAAGAACCGGACACATTAAACACGGTCTCTCAAACAAAGGCTTGAAATGGAATCAGGGGCTGCCAGAACACGTGACATGAAACGTGGTCTCTACAGTAAAACCAGTGCAACATCAACAGCAAGCTAGTTTAGTAGATTCAGGGTGTACATTCTCCCAGTTACAGACATGGAGCTCCAAAAGCATCTTTGTCTGCTGCTGGGGTGTGTTTAGGGTCAAGAGCTTAGAGATCCGGGCACAAGGTTTATGGTGCGGGGTTTAGGGTTGATCCGCTGATAACGAGCTACATGAGACCCTGCAAAAGTAGGTAGAATAATGATCCCAAAACCCTTAAAATAACAAAAGAGGCCAGTGCAGGTAGACCTTAACCCGCACCAGGGATTGGAGCGGCTGGGTCTATGTGGAGATGGTCTTTGCCCTCTTCCTGGTCCATGGCTGCACCGAGAAAGTTTAGGGTTTATCATGGGTTCCCTACTACCCCCAAGGCTCCCCTCAAGTAGCCTGAAGCCCTAATTAGTCTGAAGTAGCCCGGACCAAGAGTAGTAGGGAAACACATGAGTTCAGGATTTAGGTTTAGCGTTTAGGCTAGGCAGCAGGGTTCAGAGCTGACACGTCAGAGTTGAGGTTTGTACCCGGCGGGGCAGCCTATGATCTTGTGAAAGCAGGATCCACAGACTCTAATGGGCAAAGGGCCCAAAGAACAACCAGGTAAGCATGCTCCGACCCCTAAATTTTGAAGCGTAAGAGCCCACGCTCAACCGGAAGCCACACTGAGCTACCCCGGGGCTCTAACAATATAAATGATACCTACATTGAGCCCTAAAGCCTATAGATAGTACCTACATGGAGCCTTACGGCTATTGTACCCTCTCCCAAACTGACATGAAACCCAACGTAGCCTTAATTGCAACGACAGCCTAAATGGCGCCTCTTGGGTTCCTTGTTATCCTGGAGGATGCCAGGCCCAATCAAAGTAATGGTGCCCAACATGGTTTTAGGGTTTAGCGTTCTAGCGGCCTTGAGGGTATAGCCCTTGACTCTACATCCTATCTAGAGGGTATACACCCGGTAATTTATTTCATGAGAAGGCCTCGGCAAACCCCACCTCCACAGTGGGACCCTAAAGTTATGGTTGTAAGATTGTTAGCATTATGATCCGTTTTAGAAACGCTAAATCATGGGGTCGAAATGTGGGGCTCGGGGCCATGGGTTTGCTCTACAACCCAACCCCGTTCTTGTAGCCCAAGTGCAAGCCACCTCAATGACCCAACATGGTTATTATGGGGTTATAAGTCCCACTCATTATCGGGATAGAATTGCCCCGAACCTCTAAGTAGATTCTAGACCCCAAGCCCTAGACCCTGAAACCAGCTGAAACCTATATAAACCCTAAACCCTCGACCCCTTCGAATCACAGGTCCTCGAGATCCTTCTGCGAATGTGCGTCCTTGGCTGGGTCGGCTACTGGTGCGGACCCGAAAAGTACTGGAACTGGTCCTTGGGCCTTAACCTGACATCTGGTTGGCCTGGAATGAAGGAGTGAAAAAACACTCCATAGAAACATCGGTCCCCCTTATCCCCCCAAATACTCTTTCTTTTGGTGGACTTCCAACTAGGGACCCCCCCCCCCCTTGTTGATTGAAAAACGTCAAGGTAGAACACCCAGAAGGGCCACCCGCTCCAAACCAGGGGTGGATCGTTGTTCAGAATTAGCATTATTCTACATTTGATGCCAACATGGAAGCAGAGACTGTTGACTCATGTAAGATAGCGCGGCCTGAGTCTAATGCAAGTACTTCACTTTATGCTCCTGCGAACAAGCATGGAATGTTTTAATGAAGTTCTTGCAGTTTGAACAGTCCGAGACCCCCTAAAGGATCCAAAAAATGAAACCCCCCAAATTTAAACCCATTACTACATTGGCGAAACTAAGGGATTATTAGGGGGTTCCATTTTTTGGATCCTTGAGGGGGTCTGGGGTACTATATTTCATGTTGGCGGATGGAGGGTAGGAATTGGTCAGGGTATTGAGGGTTCAACTTCGACGGATCATGCTAGACTTTTTGTGTTGCGTCGACATGCCAGTTCATAGGAGACACGCAGGACCTCATATAAGGCATGAGGATTATGTGACTTTGCACGGGCGTCTTCTGATGGCATTTGACAGAGGGCTGTTAACTGATGGCCGCACAGCATGTGTCTAAAATCATGTAGAGCCTTCCTTTGGGAACATTTGCTCCCAGGATCTTGTGTTGTTTGCTGGGGATAGGACAGAGACATGTCATGTGCCCCGTGCCCAGGTTGCTAGCTCTTGCGCAGCCCAAAACCTTGGTTTTAATACGAGGAAGGATGAGGGCCTCCCAAAACTGGACGAAGACTGCACTGTTCTCAAGATACTTGGTAGTTTCCCAAAGGTTCGGGTAGCTTTTTGTGGTCTATATTGGAGGTCCCCGTATTTTTGGAAACTACTACCTATGCTTCCCGTAGCGAACGTCCTGTTCGAAAGTGCTTGATCTTTATAGGCCGATTGTAGGCCACTTCCCCATGAAGGACAGCATGTTAGGTGACCACACCAGCAGACAGTTGTTTCTCATCCACGCCCAAAGCAAAAAGAGCCGAATGCCTCAACCTTTCGTAGTCGAATGTTGGTATACAATGAATACATACGTTTTTGGTAAGTAGTACATACATATATATATATATATTTACACATACATACGCATAAATATACTCCTCTAACAAAGTGTGCCAAAATTGAACTTTCAGTGGTGTATATATATATATATATGCTTTCTCTGTGCAATCCTAGGTTCGACATCTTCCTGATGACGACTGGCCTGTCAGACATTATTGTCCAGCTGGCCGGCGCCACGTCTGACATCGCTGGAACGTGCCTGCGTCATGTTTTGGCACGATGGTTCTGCCCGTTGCTCTCTTCTTCAAATACAACGTAGGGGATTGGGGTTTTCCCAAAATTAGGATAATATGGGGGCTACATAGGGATAATGGAAAAGAAATTGGAAGCTATTATTTAATTCTAAGCTTTAAAAAGGCAACATCCAACGGTTTCCTCTACTTGCTACCTGTGTTGTAACTTTGTTTTCGTGATCTCCCTGCCTAGCTCTTCAGCTTAGATTTCGGATTGCTTACGTTGGTCCTTGTTGATTACATTCCCCTAAGGGTCCAAGGACCTAAATAATAGGCTTTTAGGGCCCAAATACCATTAATATTATGGTATTGGGGCTGTAAAACCCTACTGTTTGAGTCCTTGGACCCTTAGGGTACTATTTAGGGTTTAGGATTTAGGCTAGGCTTTGCTCAGGTTCGATTTAGCTCCTGTTCGGATCTACTCAATGCGATGAAGCCTGCTGACCATATGCCAAAGCCGGTTTAGGGCTTAAGGCTTACTATATGAGCCATAGTCTAAACTCCTTAAAGGGGGGATATATAGGGGATTACAAGGAGGGGTTATTAAGGGGAATACTAGCAGTTTAGATAGTGGATCATATAGTGCCAACTCTAAACCCTAAACCCTAAACCCACTGCCCAGGGCGAACCAGGACAAGGACTGACGGAGCAAGTCGGAAGGGGTTGCGACACTTGTCCTGCAAAGTGGGTGCTCTACCCTCTTCCACACGAAATACAAATACGTTCTTATTGACACTTCTGACATTTTCTGATCGGCCTTGTTGCATGCCAAGCTGTGAGCTGAGCAGCCAATGTCTGTGTGTTGCATGCAGGCTCCATCCCCAGCAACATTGCCCAGCCACCTTTGCTGTACGATCCCGTGCTCTTGCCGCCATGTCCTGCAAGTGCTATGCCGCTCTGGTGCCTTCGGGCCCCCTAGTGCCCCACACCATCGAGCGCCGCCCCGTGGGAGCCGATGATGTGGCCATCGACATCAAGTTCGCAGGCATCTGCCACTCCGATGTGCACCAGGCGCGCGAAGAGTGGGGCGGCGCACTGTTCCCCATGGTGCCCGGCCACGAGATCGGTGGCTTCGTGACCGCTGTGGGCCCCAACGTGACCAGCTTCAAGGTTGGCGACAAGGTTGGTGTGGGCTGCATGGTTGACAGCTGCCGGGATTGCCAGTCCTGCAAGGAAGGTGACGAGAACTACTGCGCCACGGGGGCAGTGATGACTTATAACAGCAAGCACAAGTACAAGCACTGCCAGGAGTACACCGAGGATGGTGGCAAACCTACTTATGGCGGCTACTCCCAGAGCATCGTGGTGGACAAGAACTACGTGTGCCGCATCCCGGACAACCTGGACCTTGCTGGTGCCACGCCCCTGTTGTGTGCAGGCATCACCGTGTACTCGCCCATGGCCTACAACGGCCTGAAGGCAGGACAGAAGTTGGGTGTGGCCGGCCTTGGTGGCTTGGGTGCCATGGCCGTCATGATCGGCAAGGCCTGGGGCTGCGAAGTCACAGTTCTCTCACGCACCGAAAACAAGCGCGACGAGGCCATCAAGGAACTGAAGGCCGACAAGTTTGTAGTGATGTCCAACGAGGAGGATGTGAAGTCTGCTACCGCAAGCCTGGACATGATCATCGACACCATCGCGGCAAAGCATGACATCCCCACCTACCTCGACTTCCTGCGGCAGAACGGCAAGTTTGTGATGGTGGGGGTTCCCGCTGAGCCTCTTGACTTCCATGCCTTTTCCATCATTCCCAAGCGCAAGACCATCACCGGATCCCTCATCGGCGGTATCCGGGAGACGCAGGAGATGTTGGACTTCTGTGGAAAGCACGGCATCACCTGCCCGCATGAGATCATCAGCGGCGATAAGATCACGGAGTCCTACGACCGCGTGGTGAAGTCTGATGTGAAGTATCGCTTTGTGATCGACACCTCCACCTTCTGAGCATCGGGAACAGCTGGGTCTCACTTGCTGTCATAGGCTTCTCGAAGGAGAAGTCTATACAGGGTTTCTGTGTGGCCTGCGGTGAGCGACCCCGGACCT